CGGGGGCGTCGTGGCGGCGTGTGCTTGTGCCCGGTACCAGGGGAAGCGGCTCTGGGGCCTGGCCCGAGGGACCGAGCGGGGCGGGTCTGGGTCCTGCTTTTAGCGTTTCCCTCAGGGGTGCAGGGGGGAGACGTGGGCAAAACCCTGCAGCTGTTTCACGTGGTTACTGGGAGGTGGGTTTGTGCAGGGCAAAGCCTGTCTCTTAAGCCTCTTTTCGTAAATCTCTCCTCAGACCACGCTGCAGACCGATGAGGTGAAAAATGTTCCTTGTGGCACCAGGTGAGATGTTCAGCCGTTATCCCCCACAGCCCTTCATTTTTGCAAGAAACTCTTCGGTCCTTTCCCTTTTTCCACTACTGCTTGCTCCAGCACGCTTTTAAACGTGTAGATTTGTTTTCATGGCCTGGATTTCCCACCACCATCCTGACTGCAGTCGGTGAAAGGTGCTGTAATGCCTGGCCCGAGCTGCTGAGCCCTGCCGGGGGGTTTGTCAGCACTCATTCTCGGGGTCTGCACTGACTTTTCCAAGCCTGGGCCCACACTTCATGATCCAGTTTCTGGAGGCATGTAATTGAAACCAGGAGCCCGGTGCGAGGAGTGTGGCGTTGGGGGTTTGCTGCAGCGGTGCTGCACGGCCCTCAGCCCGCTAGAGGGGAGTGTCCCCTGCTCAGAGCTGCCCACAGACACTCCAGGAAACATCTTTTTTTTTTTTTTCCTTTTCCTTCCTTTTGCAGTGGAGGAGTGATGATTTATTTTGACAGAATTGAAGTGGTGAATTTCCTCATCCAGAGTGCAGGTGAGTTCTTCCTCTGTGACCCTGCAAATCCCACTGTCCTGAGCTCTGTTGTGAGGTGAAGGGGGTGTGCGTGGCTGTGCTTTGATTTGGAGCTGGGGCATACTGTGGATATTCCCCTGTGTGCCTTGTAAAGCCTTGTACTTCCTGGGCAAAAACTTCCAACCAGCTCTCCCAGACATTTGTGTTATTATGGCCCCGCTGGGCTTTACGCTTCAGCGAAGAACTTCTGGTTTGTATGACGAGGTGTGCAAGAGGGAGGGGAGACGAGGTGTCTGTGAGCAGAGAGCTGTCTCTGAGGCCCAAGGAGAATGATCCATGCAGCCTTTTTTCCAAATTTTTTGATTTTTAACATCCTGTTCATCGTGTTTTAACATCCTGAGACATCCCTCTGCCCTAGCTGTTTACACCGGTTTCTCCTCTTCTTTTGCAGTATACGACATCGTGAAGAACTACACCGCCGATTATGACAAAGCTCTCATCTTCAACAAGATCCACCATGAGCTGAACCAGTTCTGCAGTGTCCACACGCTGCAGGAGGTCTACATTGAGCTGTTCGGTGAGCTGCCCCGCTGACCTCTTGCTGTTGGATCGATGGCTCCCTGCGGGATGTTTCTGATGGCTGTTTGCGTGGTCTGTTGGTGCAGAAGTCACTTCCCCCAGCTCACGGGCTTTTCACCCATTAATCCAGTGTTACCTTTTAGTGCTGAGTGCTTCAAGTATGTTGTAACAAAAAAAAAAAAAATCCAGACCCAAACCTTGTAATAGTAGCAGAGGGCTTTAGGGAAGGGTGCAGTGATTCTGTGCATTATTTGTGTGTTTAGCAGATGTGACTTGTTGAATCAGTCACAGAGTTTGCTAGTCCAGATGGAAAAGCCAGTCTTCTGCTCTTTGCTGTTACAAAAAGCGCAAGCAAGCGCTCCCTGGCCCCTGGGTTTGATTAGCTTTGTGTCATGCTTGTGGCTGCAGTGCCCGGGCACTGCGAGGGAGCGCTGGAGAACAGCACTGCTGACCTTCCCTCCCCTGCTTCAGGCCATGGGGAAATCAGGCAGCACAAATGCTGGGAGAACACACGGCAAGAAATCGGCTGAAGAAAAGCTGTGGTTTCTTGGCAGAAATAGACCCGTTGCTGCCAGTGCTGAGTTTTTTGTTTATGGCATTGGACTGAAAAAATCTCTTCCAGTGTTTCAGCACTACAGCAGTGCTAGCTGCGGGCAAAGTGTGGCTGTGAATGGTTTTGAACCCCAAATGGACAGAATTTGTGCCTGAAAGAACACGGGGTGTTTGCAAACTCCTGTTCTCTGTTTAGAGTGGGCTCTCCAAGAAGCCTGGCTCTCTGCTTGCCGACAGGCCTCTGTGCGAGATGCAGGACTGGGGCTCAGTTCCCCTCCAGCTCCTTTACAGGACTGCTGGCGGGTTCTTTGCCGATGGAGTCTCCAGATGTCAGCAGCTGTGACGACAACTGCTTGAAATGGACTCAAAGCCGCTGATCTGCACAGAAGGGACTTGTATAAACTCCCGTGTAACTCTTTGTTTGAGCTGAATGTGTTCTGGCTCAGGAGTTCTGAATTGGGGCTCAGCCCGTTTCGAGCGGGGTTCTGTCATTCTCTGCCCCCCGTCTGTGCGCAGGTGCAGGAAACTGATAACAGCTGTTTCCTCGACTCCTGGCTGAACCTCTGTGTGAGTGTGAGTTCCAGATAGCTAAACTGGGACCAAAGCAAATAATCAAGGAGTGTGATGTGATTGCTTTCAAGGCCATTACATTTTTATTTTCCCTTTGCACTTTTCAGCAGGCCCCAACTGGAAACACTGCTGTCCTTAGAGCTTTTCATTGAAGCAGGAGTTTGGTTTGTATTTCTTTTTGAAGTGTCTTAGCTACGCTGGAGTTAACTGTTACTCATTGAGCCAAACAGACATTACCAATGATTTTTTTTTTTGCAGCCCATTAAAATAACTAATGCAGCCATTTCACATTTCCACCTCTCCATTTTCTTTGTCTCCTGCTGGCACAGATACGGTTCCTATCAGTCACGATTTAGCTGGACTAGGTTACTTCAGGATCTAGTTAGGAAGATATCAATGGGGAAGTGGGTTAGAGCACAGATTCTTTGTCGTAAAGATGCTACTTGTGACTCAGAACTATTCCAAACTGCAGGTTACAGGGAACTGGAAAGAGTTTCATTTTTGCCTGCTATGTTCCTATGGTCTGTCCCATGTGTTTGCCTCTGGTCAGTGCTGCTTGACATGCTGAGAGAGATGGGAACTTGCCGTTGGGTCAGGGATGGTTTTTCTCAGCCCAACGCTTCTACATCAAACTTACATTTGTACTTGCCAGGATTGAGAAATCTGAGCTGTTCCCAGCTAATTCTGTACGTGTTGACAGCAAGCTGCCTTGTGGAGTTTTTAGTTACCTTTTTTTTTTTTCTTTCTCCCCATCAGATCAGATTGATGAAAACCTTAAACTGGCCTTGCAGCAAGACCTGACTACAATGGCCCCTGGATTAATTATACAGGTAATCGGGATTCTACTTTGAGATGTCTAAGGTGCAGATCATAAGGAGGCGTAAGGGCTAAAAGGAAATAAGAAGCTGTGAAACTTTTCTTCAGAAAATCGCTTTATAATACAGACTTTGTCTAACCTGAGGAATGAGAACAGGATCCTTTCTGCCCCCCTTTTAGCTCTGATGTATTGGGTTTCTTTTGGCGTTATTCTGGGTACTGGTTTACTCAGGTTATGATCTCCTGTCATGTCAAGAGATCAGTCAGTCCTGCGTTTACTCTGGAGTTTGGAGCTGGTCGTAACTTCTGCAGCATGTGAAAGCTTTGTGTGGCAGAGCGTGCCCCAAGCATTAGCACCCCCATCCCCTGCAGCCTCAGGGGCCGTTTGGCTTTTGATTGTTGGCTACTTGCCGATGTTTTCTTCGGTCTCTCTTTCCAGGCAGTTCGAGTTACAAAGCCAAACATCCCTGAAACAATCCGGAGGAATTATGAGCTCATGTAAGTGCCTGAGACTTGCACCTTTGTGTTACCAAAAGGAATCGCTCATCCAGATTAATGTGTTTTCACAGCACGCAGTGATCAGAGTGCCGTCTGCCAGGCCTGCTCTCCGCCTCGTGCTGCCATTCAGCAAGGGGCTGGTGAGGCTGCACCAGACGAGCACGTGTCGGTCACTGTAAGCGGCTGACAGGTCACTGCTCAGTGAGGAGGTATTTCTCCATTTTGAACACGTGAGCACAGAAGTTATTTGCCCGGGGGCTCCTTCCCCCTGACGCTGGCCCTATTTTCAAGGGGCCTCCCAGCGTGTGTGAGTGGCAGGTGGATGGATTCCACCGCTAATCCTGTTGTTTGACTAGGATGGAGAAACTGTTGATTCAACAGGCTGAAGACTTGCAAAGCTTTGAAATAACTTTCTTTAATAGCACTTGACATACTGATCCCTTTCCAATGCTCTGAGCCAGCTGCTTTCTCCTGCACTTGATGCTTTACGTTCTCCGAGCGCTCTGCCAGCAGAGCCTGGGCAGGCCAGGAGAAGATCCCTCCCTTTACATCCCCAGCATTTCGTATGACCTTTTGGTGTCGTGGTAAGTCATGTGCGGTGTGGTCACAACAGGCAGAATCCCAAATGAGCCTGTCATCTGTTGCCATAAATACAGCAGGATGTGTGTTGAGAGACTTGTTCTTGACTCTAATCTCTCCTCCCTGACAGGGAGCAGGAGCAGAGTGTTTTATTTATATACACACTTTTAAAAGTTATGTACAAAGCCGTAAGAGAGAAAAGGCTGTAGCACACAAAATGCACAGAGGCATTTGATTGAATGAAGGATGATTTCAAAGCTGTGTATATCCAAATGAATAAGAATAGCCGTCTGTTGAGGGCAAGGTTTTTACAGGATTTTCATTTCTTACTTTGTTCAAATAATTTCCTCATTAACAGTAGCCCAAAAACCTACAGATATGTACGGTCTGTGACCTGCCTCTTGTAGAAGGCATGGTGGCAGCCTGCAGAGAGTAACAGGGAGCATTTCACACTGCCCTGACTGAAAAGTCTTCCTGCTGTGCGGGGGGCAGGAGAAGACACTTTGGTGTGAAAGGACACCTCTGTGTGTGCAGGTACATGCACTCGCTTTCCTGATTGCTGCCTGCCCTAAACATGTACTTGAAGGAGGACTGAGCCGGCAGCGCATCCTGGAAATGCAGTAAGCCACGCGGCTTCAGGTGGGCGTGTGTCTTGTAACTGGCTTATTTTGACTCCTTAGGGAGAGTGAGAAGACAAAGCTGCTGATTGCAGCACAGAAGCAGAAGGTGGTGGAGAAGGAAGCGGAGACAGAAAGGAAGAAAGCCCTCATCGGTCTGTACATCTTTGCTTGAAGGCAGTAACCGTAGGGGGGTGTGGTGGGGTAGGAAGCAAAAAGAACCCAGACACTGGGGAGGGATGCTCCTGGTTCACCTTTGGGTGCTCCCTATGCTGCATCTGAAACTCTTCTGGAGAAACTCAAGAGTTTTTTCAGGTGGGTTCCAGCTTTGCCCACAGACATCAACTGATGCCTTCTGAGGACTGAAAATTCTTCCCACAATTTATTTCCACCAGAAGGGTGGTGAGGACTTTCATGGGTGAAGCTGCTTCTGGTGCTAGGAAGACTTTGTGACGATGATGTGGATGTGTTCTTTTTCATTTCAGAGGCAGAAAAAATTGCACAAGTTGCTGAAATAACTTACGGACAGAAAGTGATGGAAAAGGAAACAGAGAAGCGAATTTCAGAGATTGAAGGTGAGTGGTGAGCTTTCCACTAAGTAAATGTTTCTTTGCAGACTGTGCTTCAAGAAGTGAAGGTTGTACTGTTCAGTTAAGAAGATGTCCCCCCACCCATCTGATACAACGCTTTGTCAAGGAAATTCCATGACGTGAAAAGGGGTCTGTGTTCCCAGCTCAGAGTGGCAAGGCCTTCTTTCAGTTACATTTGTTATAGGCCCTGTCAAGCTTTGCAGAAGGCCACTGAGGACCCAATTTTTACAGATCAGCAGCTTCTCATTAAGAAATTCTTCACAGAAGTACAATGGCTTTTGTTTCTTGTGCGTCACCAGGTGTCAGGCCTTCAGTTCAGCTCTGTGCTAGCAGAGGATTCCTGTCTCCCTCGTTCTTTCTGGTGTCTCTGACTGGGACCACTCTTTCTAGCCAAAAGAGAGGAAGTTTCAGGCCAAACCATCCAGTTGCTTACATGATTTTTAAGTGTAGCAGCTCACAGGACTCCCTGCTAGAATAGGTAAACAAATGGTTTATCCAGTTGTGCAACTCTCATATCCAGACTGGCGTGGATTGCAGTCCTGTGGCTCCCTGTCAGAGAGGGAATGTCAAGAGATCCCATCGAACCAGCCAGATTAAACTCAGCCTTAACATGGTGGCCTGATATCCCGTCATTGTCACTGGACAGGTAAAAAGTGAAAAGGAAAAAAAGGAGTGCAATACAGAAAGGGAGAGTGGTTCTTTCCTTAAATGTCTTTGCTAGGAGTCAGGGGATTTCAGTATCCTGCAGGATTCGACCCTTTACACAATTGTTGATGTTGCAGAGAAACAGCTCTCCAACATCTGTCCAAGGGGCAGAGCCTGTAAAGGTTAAAATCGCCTGCCTCTGTGTGCCAGAACCTTAACCTCAGTATCCCAGACAAAACCCCATCTGGGGAATTGCATTCACAGTCACAGACTTCGTCTGTAGAGCAGTCTGCTGTGCTGTTCTTGGAGCCCTCTGCAAATGTCGTGGGTAAATACCACTTCTGCAGTGGAACAGTTGCTGCGTTTTCCGCACGAGAGTTAGTGGCTGGCTAGAGAAGAAAGGGTGTTCTCAGCCCGCGTGACAGGGGGAGTAATAAAATCCTTATGTTTGTGAAATGCTTTGAGGTCTTCAGTTGCAGATGCAATTTTCTTCTTTAATGCTATCATCATGCAGCGTTTTAGATGTAAATTGAAATCCCATTTCTGGGTTTCCCATTTTCTTCCCCTTTCCCCTTGTTGTGTCCCATACAGCTTAGATGTGGTACTGGCCACTTTGAAACATTGCCAGCTGCAAATGGTGCTAACATGGCTGGAAATAAAAATCTGAATACGAGAGCATGTGTTTTCTTACAGATGCTGCATTTCTTGCAAGAGAGAAGGCAAGAGCTGATGCTGAATGCTACACGGCCATGAAAGTAGCCGAGGCTAACAAGGTATTGATATTTCCTTACACTGTGCCTTGAAGCAGGGCTGCTTACATTAGGTTGTGTTTCATTTAAGTCAGAAAGCAAAACAAATCCATCTCCTTTCAGAAGAGTTTTCACTGAGACTGAAACAATTAGATCATTATTTGCAAATTCATCTTCTCTGGACAGGTAAATTTATGTCAAGCTTCGTGAAATATCTGGTCATCTCTGGAGACAGCTCCGCCAGATGCTAGTGGGGCCACAGCTCCCTCTGAAGATGGAGTGTCTGTTTCAGTGTTGCCCTTTCACGCTATTGTAATCAGAAATGTCGATTCATTCCAATCTGCAGGCTGGCAAGCAATCAAAGCAGGGAGATCTCTAGAGTGACGGGCAGGCTTTTGAGTAAACAAGTGTTCGAGTAAAGAACAAATGAAGCTGATGTTATACACCAGACTAACCGGGCTGGCAAAGCCTTGTCCTGCAAAAGGAAAAAACAAAAAAAAAATCTGGAAACAGAAATTATACTGATGGAGCTGCCAGGCTTGTTATTGCCTACAGCGAATTCCCGGGACAACCCAGCAGGAAGACCTTCTGTTTTGTAAGGGTCAGTGAGAATGGGCAGAGGTCTGGGATGTTTGTGCACAAGTTTTGTCCCAGTTATTCTATCCGCTCTGTTATAATGTCATTATCCTGAACAAATGAGCTCTGCTCTCCGAAACAAACTCGTCAATCTACTCTCTGGAAAAAAGCCAGTTGTATTTTTCTTTCCCGTAGCTTGCATTGCAAGGGCTTTCAGTGAGTTATGTGCTTTCGAGCATCTCCATCTCTGCTACGTTTGGATTGAACATTTCCCCAGCTGCTTCCATCACTTTCTCATTTTGCCATTTAGTCACTGGGATTTAGAGCTTCACTTAGGCGTGCTGAAAGAGAGCCTTCTGCTGGGCACTCCATCTTCTCAGCCGAAGAGAGGATGGGCATGCCCGCTGGTGGTGTGGAAAAGTAGATGCCTCGAATGCCCCTGACAGAAATTTGCTTTTGACTGAATCCGAGCTGTTGGTGATCTGTTTTCTTTCTGTGCAGCTGAAGTTAACTCCGGAGTACTTGCAGCTGATGAAATACAAGGCTATTGCAGCAAACAGCAAGATATATTTTGGCAAAGATATTCCCAACATGTTCATGGACTATGCGGGAAGCCAGACCAAATTTGCAGAGGGACTGGTAGAAGGAATCCAAGAAGAGGATGGGACAGGAACCACTGAGGACACAAAACTACTTCATAACGTCAACTGAAAGGAAAGATTTCTATTTGTTTTGTATCAAAGGAAAGATGAACTGGGAAGTTCCTTTTTGTTTTTTCCCCTTTCCTCTCCTGAAAGAGATGAATCAGACTAAAGCCTTTCAATCTTTTGTATGACAATTAGACACAAAGACTCTGGTATTTATGGGGTGTTTTTTTCTGGTGGCTTCTAAGCAGCCAGCTCCAGGTATGTCCTTCTGGATGCACCTCTCCTTCCTGGACATACAGACCAAATTATTCTGGAGAGGCTACCTAGACTGTTCTGCAGCCAGCTTAGATAGGTACTTAGTTTTGGATTGAGGTGGTTTGTAGCAGTTGGAAATAAAGACATTTGGAGGTTTTTGGAGGGAGGGGAATTGCTGCTACAACTTGTTTTGGTTTCTTTCTTGTGGGAAATTTCAAGTACTTTATTTCAAACCCCTTTTAAAAAAAGGTGCTAGACTTTTGTACACTACTTGTGTCTGCTTGAAGGCCTGGACCTTGTCCAGGTGGCAGTTTGCTGCCTGGTGTGTGGGGCGCTGGGACAGTCTAACAGCCTCTCTCTGTGCTCCAGGCCCATCCTCAGCGCGGGGCGTAACAAATGCACGAAACCATCTTTTACCAAGGTCTGAGCCGATGCGTTTTGCCTTGGGTAGGGCAGCTGAGCCCACGTGCTCAGTGAGTTACAGAAGTTCAGCTGAAATCCTGCAGGTTACCTAGTTACCGTGGGGGGATCAAAGCCTTAGACCGTGTCTCACACAGGTAGTGGCCCAAACTCTTAGTTTTCTGCATCTTAACACTGGTTTGTTTTCCATTTGTCATATTTGGGGAGGGCAAAGGGCAGTCAGTGTTTTGAAGCTGTTGCCAGCAGCTCAGCTGCTCGGCAAGGGTGTAGGTGTGCTGATGGAGGCAGTGTCCTGCCAGTGGAGAACCTGATTTTCGGTGAAACCAGACTGTGAGCGTGGTACTTGTCACCGCTGTCATAGGTGGAAAAACTAGGGAGAAAAGAATTTTTGTCTCAGGGACCCTGACTTTGCAAAAAGCCTTGCTGGCGAGTAACTGCTTGAATGACTAGTCCCGTGGTCATTATGGTATGTTATCTGCCTCTGCAAGACCAACTGGATTTCAGTGTTTACAGTGTCTTATTAGAAAAAGGACATTCAGGTAAACTGAAATGAACGGAGCAGAGTTAATGTTGGTTTTGGTTTTTTTTTCTGAATAGACCTTGTTAAAGGAAGATTTCCTAGTAGCAAAGGACACAAAACATCATACTGAAAAGTCACAGGGCAAATAAAAGACTCTGGACTGTCTAAAGAGAAATTTTCCTTTTTTTTGCTCAGAACAGTGCTATATAATGTACCTTTCACTTCAGAAAACTGATTAATTCTTCACGTACCAGATGCAGAGCAGTAATAGGGTTTTGTTTCACACACATAGAAAACTTGAACGGGTGTTAAAGACAAAAGTTCAGGCCTAGAGAGAACATTTTTTTTTTTCCCTCTCCCTAATCCGTCTGCCGCTTGGCAGGAGAGCCTGTTTATTAATCGCTGTTATAATTGCGGCCAACATACTAATACGAGATGGTCCAAATGTAAGCACTAACTTGTCAGAGACCAGCCTGTTGCATTTACAGTCCTGTGCCCCAGACGCTTGCTACCTACTACACTTGGTTTCACTCCTCAGTATTTTAAATATGCATTAGTCTTTTTAATAAGGCAATCACACTAAGATAGAAATCTGATTGATTTCAGCTGCTGGTTCCAGTATTTTTACTTCAGTTTTCTTTTCCCTGTTAGGAGAGTGACTATTGAGACTTGAAAATGCAAAATAAAACATAAGCATCAGATTCTGCTGGAGGAAAGTCCCATCTTTGATGGGTTTTATTTGTATTTGCTGGAAAATGTGAGCTAAGGGAAGCTCCATCTCCAGATCTGTGTACTACAGAGCAGTCTAAAAATTGCATCAGTAGGTATGCTGTGATACTACTGACTTTATAAACAGGTTTCTGCAGGAAGAGTATGGACAGGGAACAGCAGAAACATAGGGATGAGGTAATAGTACCTAAACCTTTGAGGATTGTCTTAGTTGGGCTTGTTCTACATTAATGTGAGAGATTTCCACTAGTAACTAAAACCTACTTTTTACGTATTTTTCACTAGTGAAAAGACCCAAATAAGCCGAAGTGGTATTACAAGGTATGTTTTTGTATGACTTCATGGTAAGACAATAGGTTGGAAAAAATAGATCTTAATGATTTTTTAAAATTGAAAACATGACTGCTGAAGTATTCTTGTAATTTAGTTAAATTGTAATAAGACTAAAAAAAGCAAAAACAAGTTGAAATCCTGCCAGTGTTGACAAGCCAAAATCCATTGTTGCGTTTTAATTCAGGTTTCTTCATTATAATTTCCTTAATTTTCCAGAGCAGATCTGTCACTACATGTAAATCTTGATTCCATCTATCTCTGTAAGCAATATTTTATCCTAATTTCCATCATCTGAAATCTTGAATTTTAAAAGCACTCTGTATAACAAAGATCATGCAGATTTGTGGCACTGCTGATACCTGAGAACTGCTGGCGGGAGCACGGTAATGCTTTACCAGTACAGTCTTTGATCTTCTAATGTATTGAATTAAAAGCCTTTTTATTTTGGTATTTGCTATGACAATAAAATGGCCTTCAATTTTAATATCGGTAATTTTTTTTTTCATGGATGAACTTCAACACAATGTGTAGATATATTTGCAGGGGAAGATTTACCAGGGGTGACATCAAGGCTGCTGCTGCTCCAGCGGGAGAGTGTGGAGCTGTGGGGTGCTGTGGATCGGTGCGGTGCTGGCAGGCGCCGCGCCTGTGCTGCTGCATGGTGCCAGTTCTCCGTTTCTAGTGAGAGAGGAAAGCGGAGCTCCGGCAGAAGAGGGGCAGAGGTGTCCGTGTTGGCTCAGCAGCCAGCCGAGGAACGCTGCAAGCATCTTCCGGCCCCGCTTCACTAACCGGATGGATGAAAAAAATACGGTAACAAGGCTTCAGTGGCAAATATTGAAGTTTTGGTAAAGTTTGCAGAAAATCATTGTCATGTTTTACCAGACAAAGGGCAGGAACCTTATGGGTATTTTTAAACAGCTGTGTAAATACTGTCATTGCTCAGAATATGGGGAGAGTAAGTTCTGCACATTAAGGCAAATATTTTAGTTAATGGGTTCCAGCTGGCAGTTTCCCATTCTTTCCATCTGACTTGCCACGATAAAGGTTGGCATTGTCCGTGGCGCTGGGGCCTCCCACGTCCCGTGGCGTCTCCAGCGGCGGGGCTGCCACGGGCGGCTGCGGAGCTTTGTGGCTGTGCAGCTTTGTGGCTGTGCTCCAAGCGCTCCCCACTGCCCATCCCAGCCTTCGCGGCTCGAGCAGGGTGTGCAGAACAAGTGCTGTCCCCTGCTCTGGTTTTATGAAGTTTTTTTCCACAATAACTGAAATCTGCACCCTGGGATGATGGCTCTTCACGCAGGTGGGAAGAACAGAACTTCTTGGGGATGGGTTGTGGATTCTTTGGTTTGGGGGGTGGTTTTTTTCTTGGAGTATGGGCCCAAACTAGTTCTGCGGTGTGGTTGTGAGGGGCA